ACATGGTCGCCTAATAACACTGGAAGTTTTGGGGCTGACGGACCCGCCAAATAAGATGCTGCGAGCTGGGAGCTGACGAAGAATTGGTGAAACTGTGGACAGACAGCTCGTGTGGTTGTCAGTTTTCCCGCTCCTCCAGAACGACACACTCTGGACCAGTAAGAGCGGGACATTGAACCGGAGAGCAAAAGGCTGTTTTATTTTTTGGCGCTATCGACTCCACAAGGACATGGACGCCTTGAGAGCGGTAGACCCTGACAGTGGGATCTTTTTTGGATGCAGGGAAAGTGAAGCCATCACTGGATTTAACCAAGACCGACATGGATGAGTCGCAGCTCAGTGTTGTGGAGATTCGGATCGCAGGCCAGCCGGGCGGCTTGTCTCCAGGTCCTCCGTGCCTGTGGTTCTCACTGCCTCCAAACATGCGCTGACATCTGGGGCCTCCACTGCTGTGAGTCAGGATTATTTCTCCACGCTGAAGAATGTATTTCCGAGCACAGACGAAAAGCTAACCTGACCCAGCTGGCCTCGGAGACTGACCTGAGCAGAAAGTTTAAACAAGAGCGGAAGGATCTTCTTCTGAGGAGATTAAACTCATCAGCAAACCGAAGGCTTCACACTCAGTTAAGGTAGGATTGATTTATTTCTTCATGTTTTAGTGTTGTGGGTCGTGGGATGCTTTTATATGTTTGGTTAGCCTATTGCTTATGTCACTAATAGTTTTGTTAATTGTATAACAGCCAGCATACAGGACAGATTGTGACTATGTTGTGATGCCTGTGTTAGATGGTGATTTTCAATAGAACCTGTTCTCAGTTGATCAGCAGAGATTGTTTGATGTCTTGACCTGCTGGTTGTTGCTTTAAACGCTGACTTGCTTTCTGAGATTGTGATGATGTGTGGATGACACATATTTCAGGGGATTGTGTATGTGTGAGGTGTAATGATGCACTTATAGCTGTGCACACAGTGTGTAATTCTTTTGGTGAAGTCCCTGGGCCTCAATGCTTAACTGATTAGATTCTGGCGGTCAAAGGTCAAGGTGAGTGTGACTGCACAAAACCCTTTTTAGCATTTACCCAACACCTTGCATATGGTTAATATTTTATATGTCTCTGGATAAACATTGATGTAACCTGAAACTAGGGTGGCGGAGGCAGACAACCATGAGGCGGTAATTCTAGTTTAAAGCAGGAATTTGCCAAAAGATGCATCAAACAAAAGGCTCCTCCTCGGGGAGTCACATCTTTGGTAGTAAAGGTAAATCCGCCACAGAGGAGCTTTTTAAAACACATCATTGGGCAGTAGAAGGTTGTCTGCTCTGAAGAATACTCGCTCCAACTCATGGCGTTCCATTATCACAATGGACTGTTTTCTAGTCAACACAATACAACAGGGACGCTGCTAGTTTACCTAATCAAGGAATTTCTGAACTTCTGAAAGTCTTACATTTAGACCAATTTAAAGTTTGATGGTAAAACATAATTGAACTGACTTCTCCCTCCCAGCCAAGCTTACAAACTGCATTTGAATAACAAGAGCCTAATCTTCCACGCTGCCATTCATTCACTAAATTCTCCTTCAACCTTTTTTTCTTCTAAAACCTCATGAAGAACATTATAGTCATCCGGGGTCATGATTGGACTATATTTGAAAACACGCCATCAAAACATCAAAGACAGAGTGAATCAGAGAGGGAGTCGATGGAGGAATCAGATTTGATAAGTGAACTGAGTTGTGAGAGCAGCAATTTCCTTCCTCACAGCAGCAGCGCGGAGACCATTGTTGGCTGAATAACAATCCCGAGTTGAAACAGAATGCGCTATTGTGTACTTCCAGCAGAAAGTAACCTCAGAAAGGCTCTCCTGAAAAGAAGCAGCTTTACGCCGTGCGTGCCCACATGGCGGGGAAGAGACACCGGATGAGATTTGGCGGGTAAAAGCATTTGGGCCCACAGGGACGGGGAGTCTGCAGGGATGTACCTCTTTGATGTGGGAAAGTGGCACTTGAAAAAAACAGGCTGTGTATGGTATTGATTGTCCGTCATTGTCTGCCTCCTGCCCAGCCTTTGTTACTTGGATCATCACAGGGGCCACAAATGGGAAGGGATAAATGGAGGAAGATCACAGCATTAAGTCCTTCAGCCTTCAGACACCACAACACCTTCTGACAAAATTCAGGATTTTCAGAAGACCACACCTCAGAGAAGAACAGGTGGTGTGATAGAGTTGGTATTTTAGTACCTGGAATGTAGTTTGTTTGTTTTTTTTCCAGCTGCTGACGACCAGCTGTTCCACTGAGCTGCTTCACTGTAGCTCTTTGCGTTTAAATGAACAGGAAGCTGCGACAGTTGAGCCTCGTTGTCGACGGGCGTGGATCAATACTGAGCTGATGTAAAATGACATGTACATGCATGTATGTGTATGTTACATCTCTGTTTTCATTTGTGACGGCTACAATAGCGGGATAAAGTTGGCTAACTCGCTGTTGCCAATATTATACACATGTTTGGCAAAGGTTGCTATTGCTAGCTGGCTAACTGTCAGCATTGTTGTGGAGCATATCACAGCAATGCTAGCTTGGGCTAACGGTTGTGGTTAGATTGTTTCTTGTTGGTTCTCGTGTTTGCAGAGAAACTTTATTCAGTGGAGCTTCTTGCCGTGTGTTTAGTGGTCACTTTCACCGAGCTTCATAACACCTTGGACTGAGAACGTAAAGGGGGGGGGCAACAAAGCATTTGTTTTGGTCTGAGATGCTGGAGGTCTAGTGCAACGTCTCAAACCTGATGATGATTAATGATAATATTAATAAAAAACTGGTCTATCTGGCCAATTGTATGTGGACAGCCCTGTGTATTTTTGGTGTTTTTTCTTTCTTTTTAGATTTGTTAGAAAAAAATTCTATGAGCATATTCAGAATTTCTAAAATGCAGGCTTTGGCTCTGATTCCAGCTTTGTACATGTGAACCCACACAATCATCAGGGTTTCTGTTCAGCTGTTTGTATTCAGATTTTATAAAATGTAAATATTTCATGATGTAACAATTAGATTTTATAGGCCAGTGATAAAATATGCAGAGCAAATATGACGGTCAACACACACACACACACACACACACACACACACACACACACACACACACACACACAGTATCTTAATGCTTTTTGTATAAGAGGAGCAGATTGATAGAAAGGCTGCCAGTCTTTTTGGTAATGATCTTGTTTGTGTATCCTCTCTCTCTCTCTCTCTCTCTCTCTCTCTCTCTCTCTCTCTCTCTCTGTGTGTGTGTGTGTGTGTGTGTGTGTGTCTTTTCACACACAAATCCTCTGGCAGGAATATGATTCCAACTGTTCGTTATTCTTCCCACATAGATCATCACTGTATCTCCCGCCTTCTTCCTTTCACCTTCTCTCTTTAACACAAACTGTTTTTTTTTCTCTAAAACATGAGACATTTTTCCTGCGGCACGCGAGATTTTCATCCACCTGTGCCCCCCCCAAAAAGCCAACAAAAAAACAAACTCCTCCGCCGCCTGTCTGTGCGCGCGCCCGCCGCGCGCAGGCGCGCTCCTCGCGAATCCTGATCATGTGTAAAGCCGCAGAAGCTGGGTGGCATCGCTGGGTGCCCTGGTACCGGACCGGAGCAGGAAGTCCACTACGATCCGTATCAGAGGACACACAGAGCTGCCGCCGACGTCATCATTATTATTCATTAATACTCAGCTTCATTTATTAGATGAATACTGTGGTTCTACACAGCTGGGTGTTTTCTTCTTCTTCTTCTCTTAGTTCTCAGGCTCAGGACGCACGTCGTGTTTTCTGGTGCGTCAAAGCTGCGCGGTCGGACTTTTCTGACCGTTGTTATTTGCAGGGAATTTATCTACAGACGCTGTAAGTTGTGATTTAACACCCCCCCCCAACACACACACACACACACACACACACACACACACACACACACACACACATATATATCTGCACGGGAATCAGTGTTAGTTGTGCCCAGGGTGTGTGGCAGAGAGAGAGAGAGAGAGAGAGTGAGAGAGAAGAGAGAGATGAGAAGAGAGAGAGGGAGGGAGAGAGAGAGAGAGAGAGAGAGGGGGGGAGGGAGAGAGAGGGGGAGGGAGAGGGAGAGGGAGAGGGAGAGAGAGAGAGAGAGAGAGGTAACCGTGCTGTAAATGCGGAGCAGTTAGGCAGAAGATGACCGGAAACTATGTGGTGGAGTTCGCAAAATAAAAGCACAGAAGGAGAAAAAATAAATAAATAAAGAACAAAATCCAAATGGCAGTGAAAGTGTTAATAAAATTAGGAGATATTACAACAGTGAACATAGTAATCAAATGATGATTTAGAAAGTGTGTAATTGATAATATTGATTACTTACTGGGCATTAAATTATTAGTTGGATATATTAAGTCTACACATAAGTCTCATTCCCTTTAAGTTGCTTCCTGCACTGTAAACTGATTTGTTTGCATGTTAACAGGATCAATAACAAAGAATAATACTTAAAAAAATTACAACTTTCCTAAAAGGCGATCACAACTACAATGACTTGATTTACCTCTGTAGGCAAACGTTAAACATTTCAGTAAAAAAAGAGAGAGAAACCTTTATTGTGAAACTCCACACCGGAAGTTGTGGTTGTATACCGTCAAACTTGACGCTGGTCCCCTGCAGTGACGGCGGAGAAGTCTCGATCAGAGGCTCGCCACCTGGCGATGCGAGTTTTCTCTGAGTTGTGAGGCGTCTCCAGGTGTTAGTCCGATCCCTCCGCGTGTCCCGCCGCCAGTAATCCGGCTTTTTTCCCTCTTCCTCTTTCCACACAGAGATTTTTTACCCGAAACCACCATGTGTGACTTTCCGTGGTGATGAACGGGATGCCTGCTTTGTGAAACGGCGACGGATGGATGGATGTGTCCATTCACTCAGTCCTAGGGCGCACTGGAATAATACAGTGAACTGACCGAGGATCGGTGTTCTGCTCTTTTTTCTGGAGTTCATCCTTTTTGTGTGTGTTTTCTTTTTTGCCATCTCTGGAATGGTTTCAGTCACTGTGGGAACGTGTAACATTTCTTCCTGAGGCTTTGAGCACCTGCTATGTGTCTGGTGTGGAAATTACCTGGTGGAAGGTGTACAGCGGGATCCGGTCTGGGAGGACAGGACATCTGCAACTGATAAAGCTCCATTTCTTCTTCTTCTTCTTTTTCTTTTTCTTTTTTTTCTAACCTGTGCGTAATGTATGTGGAATGAAAGGATGGATATAATCTGGGAAATACTGATCATTCTCCAGGCCAATTTTATTGTCTGCATATCAGGTGAGTGATGGGCGTCGTTTCCAGCAGGTGCATCAAATAAATTATCTTTAAGCTTTTCCTTAAAAAATCAAAACGTGCGGGCTGAGGGCGGGCTTTGGTTTAAAACAGCTCTGATCCACAAGGACTGCTCCTCAGGACGCGCTCCGGCAGGTGGAGAGAACATATCTAAATGTTCTCACGCAGTCCTCCTGCCATGATATAGACGATCCCTGTTGTTTTAATCTGTAGTTACCTATGGATGTTTCTTTCTCTCTCTGTGTGTGTGTGTGTGTGTGTGTGTGTGTGTGTGTGTGTGTGTGTGTGTGAGAGAGAGACTCAGGATAGGCACAGTGTAGCCTCCAGAACTGGATGCGCAGGCTTCTGACGCACGCATGACATGGGTGGGCTCCTCTTATACAAACCACAATGAACATAATCAATTATATTTTATGTTTTTTATTGTTGCTCCACGGACAAATCACGTGTCTGCTGTTAGACAGCCCCCCCCCCCCCCCCCCCCCCCCCCCCCCCCCCATGTCCTCTCCGTCATTGTGAAGTCTCTGGATTCTCAGTTGATATTAAATAAAACGGGTTGTGTGCCCGGTGAGCGCGCGGCGCTCTGCGGCGTGAGGAGCGGATGCGGCGGTGCGGGTCAGGCTGCTGTGGCCGCTCTGTGTGCGCTGTACGGAGGAGGAAACGCTCTGAGCCTCCAGTAGAATAATAAATGTTTGGTGGAGGACACATGACTTCACACTGTCCTGCTGTCAATTCACAGCCTCCACTTTTGACTGCTGTGTTTAAACTACGTGTTAACCTCAAACCCAGTCTTGTGATTTGACCTCCTTTCACTCCAAATTGCCAAAATTTCTCACGTGAATTTTCAAAATAAAAGCAGATTTTCAAATACAGGTGAAGCTGTGCTCTTTGTGCAAGTTGCAGATACAGTGTCTGAGTGTTTATTATAGAATAGGATAGAATTACAACACACAGTAGAGAGTAAATGACTCTCTTACGAGTGAATCCAATCCTGTCTGCGTATTTTCCAGAGAACCAGGCCCTCCTCTTCCTCTGTAGCTCGGCCCTCAGTCGTCAGTAAAGAGCAGATCCTATATGAGTGTCGGCCTACTCCAGCCTCCACAGTTCTGATTGCTTCGACCATTGGAATGTTTTAATTGAGGTCATCCAACCAGGAACCAGATGATTTTGTCCTTTCTTTTGAACATTGTTAGATAAATGAAATCCCTCCCAGGCAGCAGGTGACACGATGCTAGTGAATACAATCAGGAAATACTAGTAACAGCCCCTTTGTTTCCCCTTGTTCCAGTTAGACCCAGCTTTCATTGTAATGCACATCAGATATTTACTGGTTTTAGCCAATCAAAATGCACCATTTAAACCTGAACTAAGAAGATTTAAATAATTAATCAGTTGATGTTTTAAACAGGGACAGATTGAGGCACGGTGTGGTGGTGCAGTGGTGAGCACTGTCGCAGCACAGCGAGCAGGTTCTGGGTTCTAACCTCCTGGCTGACACGGAGGTCTTTCAGTGCATGTTCTCCCTGTGCCTTCCTCCCACAGGCCGAAGACATGCAGGTTAACTGATGGATGTGAGTGTGAATGGTTGTCAGCTCTGTGTTACTTTTAGGACGTTTTCAAAGTCAATAATAACGTGTCAAACTCAAGATCCTGAGGGAGGGAGTTTCCTCCATGTTTTATTTTTTTACTTGCTGCTCTGAATCAATTTCATCGACGCTGCTGAAGCATCAGCCTGGTTACAGTTTTGTTGAGGAGCTTGTGTGTAGCCTACTTGTGTTAACTGTTGTAAGTGTGTGTTACTAAACACAGGTGTGTTTGCTGAGCTTTAGGCCTCTGTGTCGTCTGTACTGGAGCATGGGGACGGTTGCAGCAAGGAGGCGAGTCCTTTTCCTCCAATCAGAAACATGCTACAGTGATCGCACTCATACTGCACATGCTCAGTTAGACCCTCCCTCGCCATCAAAACTTACTTAGTTTGAATCATTGTTTGGTCAGCATGTGTGGAGGTCAGTGTGTCATGGCTGACAGGGCGCAGACCGCACAACAGTTTGACTCAACTTGTTTAGTTCTTAATAAACTAAATATGCTGCGAGTTTAGTCCCATAGCAACAACAGATGCAACAATATTTGCTAAATTTAACACGTAAGAAAATACAAAGAAGTTATTTTTGAAATTATTCTGTCAGTCTTACAATATATTTACCTGTTTATCATAAAATAGATAAATTGTGCCTTTTTCGACTCAAGGTCGGTTCTATTCAACTCGGTTCTATGCAAAACAAAGGTCAATAACTGTTCTATGATAAATATTATGAAATAAATAATACTATGATATTGTAAAATTATACATATTTTCAGAGTATTGTGCTTATTGAGACAAAAGACTAAAGTTAATTGGTGAAATTTGAATGGTTTTCTAATATGTTGCAACCGTCCCCAGGGTTGTGGTCAGTTGCAACATTTGAATTTGTCTATTTAGATAAATATTGTGACTGATATGTCATATGTTATCATCTCTAAATGTGATGGGTAATTTGCAGACAGATGTGAATTTAATATATAAAAGTTTGTTTGGTGTCTGAGTCACTGAGAGAAATGTAGAAAGTGTTGCAACCGTCTCCAGTCTCCTGTAACTTGCTGGGAGTGAAAATATTCCTTTAATGATGCTTGGATTGTGAAAGTTGCAGCATTTTCATACCACTGATATATATATTTATATATATATATATATATATTTGATGAAATGAAGCTCATTCATCAGCCTGTTGTTATCCCTGATGTCAGGTTAAACTAACATACATGCACATACATGATGCTTCAGAGGACGAGGCAGACTGTTATCTTGCACAGCTGAGCCTGATCGTGGACATGAAAGTCTCCTTAGTGCCAAGAACTTTAATCCGTGATGTAATCAAGAAGCAAAGCCTGGCATCGCTCCAGTGACAGTGAACAGGAGAGTGACTCTGTGGGCACTGTGACAGCACTGTGTGGTGATTTTATTTTATTTTTATCTTATTTTTTGAAGAGAACGAGCTGCAGTCATTATTTTAAAGCAGGCATTTTCAAAGTGCCATCAGACAAAATGGAGACAATTGCCCAGCAGTTGATGATACTCGTGTTAGATCTGGAGTTATAAGGAGCATCATCTGTAGAGTCATTTGTCATGATGGACATGGAGATTACGATGTCATAGAGGAGTGTGAATCACCCTGAATGTAAACGTGTGTTCAGTGATTTAGAGCCATGACTCTCAGAAGGAACAGAAGCAAGGAGTACGAGTACGACTTCCCCAAGGTAAAAGTTTGTGCCACAATCTGTTGTTGGTACAACTGGCACCGTGTTGATAAGTGGCTGAATCAAAGCCAGACCACAATAACTAACTTCCTGTTGTTTTTCACACACCTGTTTGCACCTGTACCTTTCACCAGCAGCAGGTCGTTTCCACCGCCGTACTGGACCGGGCAAGACCGCCCTGAAAACAAATAGGAATAAACGGAGGAGCTGCGTTTTTTTCTGGATAGAAAAACTCTGTAATGTTTAAATGTCTCAACTGATTTCATTGAGCTGTTATTATATTGGAGGGTTCACGATCTTCATTTCATTTCATCGTTTTTGCCTTTATTTTGATAGGTGCAGGCGTTCGGACTCGAACCAGTGGCCGCTGCGGTTAGGACTAACTCAGCTGAGCCACTGATGCGCCCAGCCATTTTATCCATTGTTAATACCATTTTTTTTTTAGTATAGCTGCTCTAATGAGCTACCAGGACTTTCATCGCTGGGGAATTGAACTACTTTGTATTGCTCCAGTATTGTGGCAACTTGAGGAAAAAAAAAACTGCCCAGTTGGAGCTGAGTATGTAAATTACGTGCTCAACATGCCCAACAGCTTCTGGCTCATTAGAGACCAGAGAGCTTCCTTTCTTTTTTAACCAGCCACATCAGTGTGTGACTGGTGTTGTTTTCACCCCGTGTGTGTGTGTGTGTGTGTGTGTGTGTGTGTCATCATGGCAAAATGTGATCCTGGACTACATGTTTTGTCTGCCCATTGGGGGGGGGGGGCATTCAGTTTCCTCCTCCAGGAAATTCTGAGTGTCAAACAATTAATTTCCTGCATTCTAGTGAATTTTTATGCACCAGTTTGTTCTTTTTCTGCATCAATTTATGGTGGAAACGTTTTAAATTATGTTAACAACAAAATTCAGGCACCAGGAACAATTGGAAATGGAACATGATGCCGTGAGACTCTCAAATTCAAATGTCCCACCCAGGTAAAAAATCATCTTTTGACAGTCTTTGGATGACTAATGCTTCTCTGCTGCTGTCTTAGCTAGCTAGCTCTTATGGGTCGGCACATCACCTTAAAGCTCCATATTTTCTTCTTCTTCTGTGTTTTATTTGAAGTTTTGATCCATAAGAAGATATATCTGTGGTTTTAAAAACCAAAAACCATCTCAGGGTAGTTTCACATCCCTCTCAGGCTAGTGGAAACTGTAATGAGTGAGGTGTGTGGGATCCAGAGGAGCCAGGACATTATCTCTGGACACCAATGTTGCTGTTGAACTTTTTGATTGTATTTTTTTTTTTTATTCTTGCAGCACCACAAACAAAATTCACCTCCACTGTATTGTAGTGGAGGCAGTGACATGTGTCATCTGGAGTCTCATCCCTCAAGCCTCGTACTTTTTTTTTTATCCTCCCCTTTTTAGCCAAATATTAGAGGAGCAGTAATTATGGTTGTAATCCTGTTTCTGTACAATTGTTCATAATTAATGTGAGTGAACGTTGGTTTCTTTAGGTCTCAGGAAGCTCTGGGGTTTAAAAGACATTATATGGGTCTTATTGAAGCAGGAGATAGAGGCGAGTAATTACGTTGACTATGTGTCATTTCATTATGGACTTCTAATTATAAACCATTGCTTCGTGGTTATTTGACAATGGCGCTTTGATGTTACACAGGCTACATATAGCACGTTTGAAGTTGAACC